AACATGTAATTGATGTATATTCAAACAGCCTGGGTAGAGGGTAAATTCATTTAGTTTCCTAGGGTTATTATAAAATAAATTTATCTTGAGGCATTCATCAGAAGTTAAATGAAATAAAGCTGGCCATTTTATGAGAGTATGATAGAAATTGTTTTATAATCACACCATGCAATTGGAAGCATATGCTTTGAAAAACTTCAGGTGAATATGATCATGGTGATATTCTATGATGTGGCAATAGCTGTGGCAATAATGGGGCTGGCAGCTCCATTACTGAAGCTTCAATTGTCCCATTTTTCCATGTGTAGAAGCAGACCCTGACTTTTAGATTCTGAGAAAAATCTTGACCCTTTCTCCAAGTACTTTTGTTTTTGTTTTTATCAGAAGTGGAGTGACTTTCTGTATAGATTTCACTTAATTTTTGGTGAAAAGAATTTAAACTAATTTTTTACATGATTGGTTAAAGCATAAGGATTTGTACTCTATATTCTTGAGACCTTAGCTTCCAGCCTTCAGCTGCCAGATGTCTATGAAAAGCTTTGTTATGAGAAATATATATGAAACTTTCTCTGAAAAGTGTGTAGTTCATTCATTACTTTAGAAATTCTAATAGTGACAATAAGAATAGTTAGAAATTGTTAAGTATTTACTATATGCCTGAATTCAGCCCTTATATGCATTTTTTTTAAAATCCTGGCAACTGCTGTTTCACCAACTTTGGGATGCATCAAGTCACTCGAGGGCTTGTTAAAACACAAATTACTTTGCCTCATCCTTAGGGTTTCTGATTCAGTAGCAGCCCGAGAGTGTGCATGTTCTAATAAATTTCTAGGTGATGCTGATGCTGCTGATCTGAGAAGTACTGTTTGCTGCAAACCTAGGAGGTAAGCATTTCAATCTGTATTTTGTAGATGAAGAAACAGGTTATCGTATCACATGCTGAACACACAGCTAATAAGGTGGCAGAGTTGGGATTTGGAAATTTGCTTCTTTGATTCCAAAGTCTATAGTCAATTTCTGTGCTAGGTGGTTTTGTAATGAGACATTCTGTCTGGGCTGAATAGTAATAGAAATATTTTATAGCTTAGGAATACAGCAGGACTCTATTACTCTTAACAGTGAGGTCCAAGTATATTAAAACATATGGATGTCGTGAGATGGTACTAATCAATGCCAGAGTATAAGATAAAGTAATATGGCCCTTAAGAAGGCCTTTATCATGAAGGTAGAAATAGACAGGTGAGCAGCTCCCTGACACCAAGGGGAGCTATGGGACAAAGGGGAGCCTTGGTTCCAGGACTGCAAAGTGTCCAACAGTGCAATTTATCTTCCCCAGACAATTTGGTGAGGGCTTTCTCTTGGGAGAATTGGCTTTGTAGGTGTAAATTTAAAGAGCCTTTGCACTTAGCTGTGTTTTCTGGGAAGCCTGCGATTGAGCGTAATAGGGAAGAAATGGCTGTCATCATGCTAATAGAGCTCTGACTTTCCTCTCTGTCTGAGGTAGAAGTGAGCCAAGCACCATATGCTATAGGTAGGATTGAGGAAGGGGGTGGGCTAGAGGTCAGCAAGAAGCACAATGGCTGGATAACATCCTTGTCACCGTGTGGTGGCCTAGGCAGTGGGGCCCTGCTGTATCAGTGAGGAAAATTCTATCAAGTAACTTAGGTAAGATTTTGAATCTTGATGAGCCAGCTTCTTGCCTCCAATTAAACTATATGATTTAAAACAGCATTCCATACTTGCTTCTGTAGAATGCTCTATCAGATGCCAGTGGTGACCTTCCAATGTTACCAACTTTCAGCATGCTAAACCTCAGATTCACTGGTAGTGACCACAGAAAGTTTTTGAGGCATTTAGGGTAGGAGTGTGAGCTAGGATAGAAGGCCCTTCTTAGGCCGGGCGCGGTGGCTCAAGCCTGTAATCCCAGCACTTTGGGAGGCCGAGGCGGGTGGATCACGAGGTCAAGGGATCGAGACCATCCTGGTCAACATGGTGAAACCCCGTCTCTACTAAAAATACAAAAAATCAGCTGGGCATGGTGGCGTGTGCCTGTAATCCCAGCTACTCAGGAGGCTGAGGCAGGAGAATT